TAAAACCTTTGAAAAATAGTGGTTTAATTAACGACAAAAGTTATAGTTTTATTGTTCGTTACTAAATCACTTTATGAGTCAATGTTTATTTCAATTACAACTTCATTGTTAAAAATTAATTCTGTGAACCCCTACTTTCGGAATTTTAAGTCACAGATTTATGTGTATTTCACTAAAAAGAGCAGAAACAAATTCTTTATTTAATCTTAAGTAAATTTGTTTTAGTAACATTTCAACAGGAATAACGAAAGTAACAAATGGCAAATCTATCTTAGTTCAATTAATATGATATCAGTCCTACGACTGCGCGTTCGATTTTCGCAACTTCAGCTATACCTGTCGATTTATAGATAGTACATTAAAAATATTTCTGTGTTAAAAACGGTTTTATGCGACATTAACTGCCCATGATAACGAATAATTAACATTGGGAGGTGTCACTGTAATTAACATTTTGATAATAAATAATTACTGTTAATTTACATATAAATAACTCAAATTTTTATAACAACCAACAAAATCGAATCAAATATTTAACTTTTCCAATCCTGCTGTAGTTTTACAATTATAAACATTTACAACAATAGTATGGAAAACGTAATAATAAATCAACTCTCACCTTTGAAATTATCCGAAATGCTATAAAATATAATCGAATGATGATAGGCACATCACTTAATCACAGATTCGCGGGAATGTCCAAGACGATACGATAAAAAAATTCGTTCTAAAAAAGCTGCAAACCGACCAATTGAGTTTATAGCTTCGAATTAACCTCGATAAATACAATTCGGCGCAAAGCCGCTGTCACAAAACTGAACCTGTTCGTTTCTTAGTGAACAGTTTTAATAGTTTTCTTATCGAAAACGTGGTTTGAAAGGTATAAATTCAACACGTTTCCGCTTGGTTAACTTGTGCATAATTTTAAGTACCTACATCATTCTAAAACTGATTCGAATTATCAGCATTCGCTAATAGTTTTTTTTACACATTGGTGTAGGCATTCAATAATTGTTTATAATTTATATGACGTTATTGTTATCGTTTCAATACAGAATGGTCGGATGGTAGAGACTTAGTCAAGGCAATAGTAAAAAATGAGATATTCTATTCTTAGTTGTAATCTAGGGGATAGTTTACAGCTATTTTAACAATATGAATATGTACCACTCACTAAGTCTTAAAGGAAGGTCACTATTATTATAGGTATTTTATCAAATAGTATTTTTTATGCACGAATTTCCTGCTAAAAATCGTTAAAAATGAAGATTATACATAATCAATAAATTATCATTTCCTACATGTTGGAACATTTTGTATAAATAGTAACGTAAAAGTTTTATTAAAAGAAATTCAAAAATGGTATCTCAATGCAGAATTTTAGCAATTTTTTTTATTAATTTATGTTTGTTTTGTTTAATTAATCTAACTTTTGGCAATGACCGCAAGCACGTGTAGAACTATAACTATTATACTAATGGAACATCGTGAAAAAATACGATATTGTTTCGACGAAAATAAAACGTGCAAAATATCCGTTTTAATTACTTTAAATAATTGCAAAAATTCTAAAAATTTAAAATTAAATCGCTTAATTATTATTTCAATTTGTACGGCTATTTTAAACATTCAGCACTCCCTATTTAATGCAGTTCTATTACTATAAATAAAAACCAGCAGGAATATATTCAATCTCTTTTTGTAAATTTTTAATATTTTTAACACCTTAACAAGGTTGCCAACTTATCGAAAAAGTTTCAAATAAGTGTGTTATCTATTGTATCAACATTAGACACTTGATTGAAAGTTGAACAACTGCAAATTCAATAAGAATTACATAAAACTATAGCAAATTGTAATCAAATGTAAAAACTTAAAACATAGAAAAATACAATGAAAAATTGATAATGAAGCAATCGGTCTCTTAGCATAAATAAATGTCCATATGTGAGTAAATGTCTACAAAATACATATGTAAAGAGTACTTCTCTTAATTTTGAGTCAAATTTATTAAATCTTAACAATACTTGAAAAAACGTACTTACCCAAAAAAATTACGAGAATAAAAATATTAAGAGGCACATGTTAAAAATTCAATATGCGGAATTGACTAAAACACAAACACAATCACTCTTAACAAACACTTGGAGCAAATATCGCAATTATTTACCATTAACATCTATCGCAAATTCCGAGTAGGTACTTGTCAGCAGTATAACGTAAAAACCAAAACACAAAAACTATTCAATTTATTTTAGAAATGTCTACTTAACTGCCTCAACGTGTGATTAAATGATGACTATCGATATTGATTTACATACCTTCATATAAAATTGTACCGATCGAAAAAATAAAAATTTTTATTGTGCATTTTTTTGCAGTTTTGCACTTTCATCCAAGTTGCACTAGTTGTCTAAATGATTTTTTTTGTATTATTCTCTGACGGGTTCGGTTGGTCGATTTATCGGTTTAATTATAGTTTAAATGTTTAGGAATTTTCATTTTTTTTGAGCAATGCATATGTATTTTGCAATTTTTTTAAATTACTATTTCTCTAGATTGCTTACCAATACCTCATATCCAAAATTCTAAAAGTCGTTTACTCTCATTATAATGTTTGTGCAGAAAAATGAGAAAAAATTATTACATAATATATTTTTTTATTTTTGTCTACATAAAAGTCATAAAATTAATGTAGGGATTTAAAAACATTTAATTTATATTCCATAACATGGTAACAAGACGTAAAAGTCACCTGGTTCGTATTAATAATGAAATTATAAATTTATCAAAAATTAAGAAGGATTTTTCTTGACAGTACATTATATAATACCTTAAAAACGTCAATTTGTCTTTATTATATTAATGTGATTTATAAATTGTTTAAAATCGGTACGAGACGGGTTTAATAATATCAATAAAATTAAATAATCTTCATAAATTTTAATAAAATGAAGATTTCATTAACTTTATTATACCTAGTATTCTTGCAACCGTAAAGTTGAATAACATATTTGAGTCGGATATGCTTTCAAGAGAGTACTAAAATAATCTCAAATCTGCATCAAAATAGAAACAAACGGTCCTAAAATTTCACACATAATGGACTTCTTAATGCCCGATCTATTTTCATCTCTTCCACGGTGTTTAATCCTCACTATCCCAATATTTGTTCTTTAGTATTTATTCATCGAGTGTCTAAGAAGTTTTCGCAACTTGTCAAAGAATATATTTATATAAGTTGCACGGTTATTTCTGGTTGTTTTATATAAACAGGAAACTTTCACTTCTTCCTCGTGATTCTCCACAATTGGTTTAATAATAGCAGCTATTGCAAAATGCCGTTGCAGAGAAATTGACCTAGACAGTGTTTTTCCTCTACATTATTGTTTTTTTCGGGAAAACTACCGGAAAATAAAATAATTTATTGTTGAACGTTAGTAAAAATAAATAACAAAAATATTTACGAAAGTGATTTGATAGGCATGTTCCGCCTGTCGCAGGAAAATCCTCTTGTATAAATCAATGTAGTCTACAAGGATTTGCTAGGTTTGTATCAGACTACAGATCAAATACAATAATGTTGCGTTTACAACTTTGTGTAAAGATATTAGATTCATTTATCTCAATGTAACCAATTTTGTAACCTTTGCAAAGGTACACCTATTTGCACAGTTTTTTCAATTGTAACCGCACTTTTATTTATTTATTTTGGGATATCTCTTGGTAGGGGGTTTTAAGCGATATCCAAAATTGCGAATCAGTTGGAAATATAACTTCGTCGATGGCATGAGAATATTAATTTTAAACGTATTATTACAAATGGCAAATAAACAACAATTCACGTTTTCGGTCGACACCAAAGCACTTTGTGTGCGTGCAGCTGGCGTAACTTTGAAAAAATGAACAAGGTCGAGTTCTATGGGAATTCATCATTGAAATTGACTTTAATTGAGATTTTATTATTATTTTACGTCAATTTTATATCTAACAGTTCGTTTTGAATTTTCAATTCCTGGCTTAAAGGTTCCATCATAAATTCATTAACATCTCTAATGTTCTGTAATTACATAACTTATATGAAAAGTTATACAAATATTTTATTTTCAATTTACGCGGATTTCCATAATACTAGCAGCTTTTGTTTGGTAATCTGCAAAATTAAATTCTTTGTTGTTATGTACCCAAATAAGAAAAATCGGAGAATAGAATTTTTTAAACAATCGAATTGACGTCAAATAAAAACATTTTCGCAATTCGTTTTGTAACAATACTAATATTTGACTAATTAATCCGACGATTTTTTATATTTTATTGTATTAGCGATAAAAGTGTCTTGAAGGACATATGTATTCTGGCGAACAAATAAATAGTTAAAAATAATATCCTAATATGATCGGGAATTAATTAATACACAAAAAATGGCATTGGTAAAATGAATCGATTGTTGTTTAGTTTCTGAATTCGCGAAATGTAAATTAGAGTGTTAGCACACGTCACTATTTCCGCAGATTTTACGAATCAATTTTTTCAAGTATGAATGAAAACAGAATGAATAGAAAATTATGCCAACAACAAAGCATGGTCATTATTAATCCGGGTAATTATCCTCTAGCCGTTTTGTTGGATAATTCATTGATTTTGCAAATAATGTCGGTTTCTAATTAGATTTAGAACGCACTTTATTTGAATCGAAAATCTCATATTTAGTTAAATTTTTTAATTAATATCTACTTAATCAAACACCAAAGTAGGTACAAATTGCACAATTTTATGTAAATGACAAATCTTATTCAAACAACTCTCAAGTTTTAATTCCAATATTAGCTTCAGAAGAAAAAATTCATTGCATACATTGTGTAACAATAAGTAGATACAATGTAGTGGTGAAGATTGAAAAACCTGCAAAATTTTCAATAAATCAACTCACCGTAAAATAAATTTAACAGGAAGAAAAAATATAGGAAAATGTGATCAACAATAAATTCTTTCATCTGTTTCGCAAGTTAATAATATATGGAGAATAAATCACGCTGTTATCTCAAGTTCATCTTCGGTAAATTTTGGCTGTACATGTGGAGAAAATCGAGGGATCACAAGTTTCACAGTCATCTTTTAAGCACCTGAAAATCATACTGGATGCCATTCGGTTAAGGTTATTCACCAAGTGGGCCAAGGTGTTTGCCGTGACACTGACGCACTTTAGTCTTATCAGTCATAAAATTGCCAAGATTACTGGAAATTAGGCAATGCAATAATTTCCATTTCATGCGAAAATATAGCTTTAAAATTCCAAAATTTTATATTTTGTTAAGTCGGTTTGTGAACTCCTTTTTTATCTCTTCTTTTACTTACTTTTTATTCATTAAGCAGTAATATTCTTAACAGAATACAGACAACGTATTGTATAGGATGACCACAATTATTTCGTCCTTAAAATTCAGGACGACTTCTATTTAGATAGACTTTCAATGCACCAAATAAAAACATCTTACTCAAGACGGTGGTTTAATGTTAATCAAATATTTGCATAATTTGACACAACAATGATTGTGACTTAAAAAATTTGATTTGAGAACAATTTCGGATAATCGCAAATATCCTGGTAGTCAATATTGGTTAACTAAATAAGTGTGTCGTAAGGATGTTTGTGATACCTTGCTCCGATTTTGGGGAGACAAAATGTATACTTACATATTAATTAAGTTGATTAAATAATAGCCGTGATATTTATAGAAACGTTTAAATTATTTATTTTAACAATTAAATGATTCGAAAGAAAACTGATGCACCCTTTTGATATTTTTGGTGTATATGGGAGAGTTGTCGAATTTGGTCCACGTCCTTAGATATGGTCTGAGTAGAGAAATTGCTAAATAATGATGGTGAAACTAAAATAACTAGGTACATAACTAGAATAACTATGAGAACTCTACTAATAACAAAATTTCCAAGGTGGAATTAATATCTTATTTGATCGCCTATATGGAAAATATTAATTCCTGCAGTTGCGAATTTTACAATGTAAACAGACGTTTAAAAATACCACTTTATGATTATTTATTGGAGGTGCTAAATTAATTTGTTTTTCACGAAGGGTTATAAAACGAAGATTCTAGACGAAAATTAAGGATATTAGGTTTAATAATCGGAATTAGAAAAATAAATCTGTCCTTTTATCTAAATCTTTTACATCCTATATATCTACATTTTTTTTCTTTCTACCTGATTCTTTAATTGCAATGGTTACAATGTAATGTCTTACGGATAAAGTTAGATAAACGACTAAACCTAGGTTTATTTCTAGGTATTTCGCAGTTTACCGGGTTAACCTAGGTTTAGTCGTTTATCTAACTTTATCCGTATGTGGAAGTATGGTGGAAGTATTGAAAAAATAATAAAACCGAGACATCTACAATAAAGGATACAAAACATTGTGCCGACATTCTCCAGATCACATACAGCGTATAAAATTGCCTTAAAGCATTCAACCGGTAGATGGCAGAAGTCGTACGTTTTTCCCACGGCTGAAAGCACATGAACCTGTTTGAGGGCAACAATTTAAATAATCTGAAACCGCCTCGACGGGAGTTCGGAATCTGTAGAGGAGCGAAGTATAGAGAAGTATAGCGTCGGCCGTGGCGCTGATAGCGTCCGTCTTCGTTATCGTCATCGGTAAAGCACGTTGCGTACAGGATACGACAACAAAAACAAGTCCAAGTTCGAAATTAACCGACTGAAACGGTGCGGGTGCGAGCGCGAATCGCCATCCCCCTTTTTTCCAAACGAACTCCCGGCTCCCTTTCGTACGAAACGGAACTTTTTCATTAACATTTCGTGATTCGTGATGTGAACAGGCATTTTATTGGTTTCGGATTCTTTCAGTTTATTGGCCAATCGGTAAGTAAATTATTCAATGTGGCTGAGACTGGTTTGACTTAATTCTCGAATCCTGTTAGATTCCTCTTTGTTGTAGCGTTTCGTTATTAATTTGTAACAAGCCGGTGATTTTGGAACAATATTTTAATTATGAATGCACCGGTTTAACTCATGAAACAAAGGTTAACTCACTATAAATAGAATAGTTTTATTAAGTGCTATGCTAATGCGACTTAAATATAAGTTGTTTGGATGAAATTTATTTTCTACTCTTTCATTTAATTTTTAATTATACCTATACTCAAATCTACCTTATGTACACTGAAAATAGTATATTCAATGTTTACATTGCACGTTGTTTCCGAATTAATCAACTAGAACTTCCAACGTTCGAATTTCAGGGAACTCCTTTGACCGCTTTCGAAACTCCAGTTAAAGCGGTTTTCTATTAATATGAATCCATTTGAGCTTATGTTCTTGACATCCACTTTACACGACTTCCGATAGGCACACACACACAAACTATTGGAACTTAAAGCACGCTCGAAATGTGTTACAATTACCTACAGGTCGACTCGAACAGATTCGAGAGGCAATTTAATCCGCATCCCCATTAGTTGCAAAGATTATTATTTGGTCGACCTGTATACATCTTGAATTCGTTCAGGTGGACCCGGTGATGCGAGTTCGAATTGCCGAACAATCTGTATAAATAGAAACAGGTAATCCGTCTTCTTGAGCATTTGGGAGTGGAGCGGTTTTTAGTAACATAAACAGAGGCGCCCTCGAAATAAATGCATAAGAGGATCCCCATAATAATATCTACGCTACACATAAGTTTAGTCAGGTATTATACATGTTCGTGTATTATTTCTTAGTTTGCATTTACAAAGAGTTTAGCTTGCAAAAGGATTTAATGATGGCAATTGTATTTATAACTATAAAGGAATAACTGCGAAAGTAGTTACGGCCACACCTTTGGTCAAAGAATAGGATGAGTCACCAGAACAAGAGGGTTAGTGGTAAAATGAAATTACATTTAAGGCCCGGTATGCAATCAACTCGCTATACAAGGTGTTTCATCTTTATGAACTGGTCAAACATGAGCTTAAAAATTCAACTCGCTAGTTTCGTCTCAGTAATGATACACCTTGTACATTTTTTATCGTCCCTCGTTTCGCTGCCTATGGATGAGAGAGCGATAGAAAATTGGGTTCTTATTTCGTCAACGATTTAATTTTGTCGACTTTAATCGCCGAAGTAAATCATTTCGGTTTATGCGATTTGCGTTAATGGCAAACTATTTTAAGAAGACAAAACAGCGTATTCCGCAAGCCGATAGTGTTGACAATTTTGCTGCTGCGAAAACGCAAATATTTATTTACTATTTTTAATTTTCTGTGAATTCTACAGTAATTGTAACAACTCCATTTGTCTGCTGTTTGATCATAAAGTATCGGGAATCCTTTTGGTTTTTATTTTAACTAAAGGTGAATCTGTTTAACGTTCCAGAATTGAAATTGAACGAAAACAAACCGTTATTATACCTACTTATAATCGGGAGTAGGTAATTCTTCGTAAATCTTAATTTGTTTACCTTCCAGTGGTAAACAACCTGTTCGTGGGTTTATAAAACTCGCTGGCCTTCACATCTTTACTCTGTGGTAGATATCCGATTCTTACAAAACTAATAGAAATACACCAAATATACCTTTGAACTTTGTACTTCAATGCGCCTATTCAAATGTCGTGCATTTCCTAATTGCTCCACCTAGATTCGGTGTTTCATTAATGCACTTTGATGTCAATTCTACAAATTCTAAGTACATGGATATTGCAATAGTCAATATCAGATTAAAGTTGGTTCAGTTAACACTCGAGTAGAATTAAAATCAAAGGATACTAATGTGTGTCCAAAGTAAATTAACTAACTACATCAATTTATGGAAGAAGGTAATTTATAAAGCAGTAAAAAAAGCAATGCACTCCTATGAAATCTATTACACGAAGATCGTAACTAAACAAAGGTTTTCTCTCTCTATAATTGTTGTTATAATAACGCATTCCTCAACGTATTCTACCTACCTACCTTTAGAAATGCCGATGGCCTTCGAAGTTACTGAATGGTTACCGATATCAGAAAACCGTCGATATTATGTAAATTTACAAGCAAAAGAACACATTTTTTTCAAACAAATAAACAAACTAACATCAACAAAAGTGCTATTCTAACAGAAAATTCGCAATTTCATACTTTGCTGCACCGCATCATCAAATTCTGCGGCACTTCGAAACCAGTCGTAACTCGATAATGTTGTTCTTGGATAAAATTCAGCAGAACAGCGGAAATTCTACAAAAATACCGCTCCATCTTCCGAACTTTTTTTTTCGCAAACTCTTTAATACTGCTAAAGCAAAACTGCAATTCGATTAGAGACATCGTACAGACGAGATCCGGACCGAAACGTTTTTATATTGCGGTTGTAAAACGCCGTAGCTTCTGGCAACGTGCAAATCGCTGTTGGTCGACCAGACACCGAAGGGTTGTTAAAGGTTATTCCTTTAGTTAAGAGGGTAGTTGATCTTGGAGTTCAAGAAGATGCCTTCGAATAAATACAGAACGCAAGCAAATATTCACCATGAATTTTTTAATATTAATACATTACTTTTGTATTCATATAATTTTTTGGTTAAAAGATACTTTGTAACATTAATTCAAGTTCGTTTTAATTCAACAGTTAATTATTTGAATCCTCCATTAGTTGCAAATTGTTGCTAATTACTAAAACGGATATACAGTTGCATTTGCGACTTTAGCGATGATGGTACCTAATTTGCAGCACTTTTTTCTAACTGTGAATATAGCTGAGGTGTAGTCGATCGTGTTGCACTCCTGCAACGAGAATTCTTCGAGCAGGAAACACGTAGTTCTCAGTTCACGGCCTTCTTAAGGTGTTTTTTTTTCGTTTCGAGCACGTGGAGGCTAAACAAGTCGAGAAAGATATGGGATAATTTGTATTCTAAGCGGCATTGTCGTACTTGGGAATCGAGTAACTATATGGAAATTAGGAAAACGATCGATATCCAGAAACCGGTTTCAATACGTTTACGTAGTGCTCGAAATTTCATCAATTAATTACTACACAAACTATACTCTAATGGAGAGTAAGTAAGGAGGTAAAGGTTTTTAGATACTTTTTCGGGGATTATCGATTCGAGTAAATGATACCCCCCCGAATAATGTTTTTGGTCTCTAACGAGATAGAGAGAGCGAAAGGTTGACTTAACCGTTTCCTCGCATTTTCTTATTTGAAGGCTTTCCAGGGCACATAAAAAGCGATTTCTCAACTTCAACTCCAACCTCTCCGCCGAGCTATCGGATGATGTGGCACGATAACAATCTCCAACAAAAAAAACGGAGGTTTAGTGTCCGGCCATACAGAAAAACTGTTATTTCTTGGATTATGTTCCTCCTCTTCGCCATACTGATTATGCACCGCATGCTCGTAGGGTTACAATGAAAATTAGTAATGGAAATTATCTGAATAACGCCTCTATTGTATGATGAAATTCTTAACAAATTATTCTATTTTATTCATGTATGTTTAAATGTAATACCTACCCGAGGGTAAAATTCATTTTTCC